ATCAAATCAAACCCTCATGTTGAGAATAAATAGATCACGTCATACTAGAGAAAATAAGGCTAGTCTTTTTGGTTTTTCGAGACAGGGTTTCTCAGTGTAGTCCTGGCTGTCCTGGAATTCACTCTGTAGACCAGGCTGACCTCGAACTCAGAAATTTGCCTGCCTCTGCCTCCCAAGTGCTGGGACTAAAGGCATGCACCACCACTGCCCGGCAAGGCTAGTCTTAAGGATGATCAATCAAAATTAATGCCTAACATGTTTTAGTTGTGGTGGAAGCATGGGAGAAGTGAAGATCATCAGGTGCTAACAGTAGCCAGTGGTGTACAGTCTCAAGTTCTGAGCCAGAGAATTGATTTCAGACTTTCTCCATGGTAATAATAATAACTGGTAACATTTATTGATCATATTAAGTATACTTTTATATACTCCAGGTACTCTTTTAAAAGTAGTGTGCATTTATTCTTTCTCAGGAATTGTTCTGTGCTCTTGTTCTGAGCTTATGGAAAAGTGGGATATAGTAAGCCAAATAGTTTGCCATAGGTTATGTAACTGTTAAGTAAATAGTCTCAATTTTAGTTTTGACTATCTGCCTTCAGAAGTAAAACTACTAAGTATTGTTGTTTCTTTGGTTGTATCTATGATTCCAGGGGTAATTCTTCCTGCCTTGGTTGATTAGCCAAGCACTGGATAAGACCGAGCTGCTCTTTCAACAGAAGGGCAAGTGATAAGTGACACATTTATAACACGAGGACAGTAACCTATCCCTCCCACCCCCCATGTGTAGGGCATCATTTCTGATAAGTGGCAACAAAACAGAAGTATCTAGAATGGTATTTCTGCTCCTTAACATGTATTTATTTCTATGCAAAACATGGCAGAGGCACATGGAATTAGTCTTTATCAAGATTAACCTGACAGTCACACTCATGTTTTAGAGTCAAAAACACTTTGAGGCAGAGAAATTGTCCTTTTTCCTGACATGGTAATAAAAGAGCCTAATTAACAGGAAAAGGACTGTTAAGAAACAGTACAGCAGGAGTGTGCTGTGCGGGCCATGTGCTTAACCTGCTTCTGTGCCTTTAGCTTTATTGCTTTAAATTTTAGGCGTCAGATTCTCTCTTCTGTAAGATAAGGTCAATTGTATAATGAAATCTTTGGACTCCAGCATATCTCTGAGTTTAATTATCAACTGATTGGAAAACTAAGAAAAATGGGAGCATCTTATTCTGTGTGTTGATTCTGAGTTATCTGCATAGAAACAATGCAGGGAGTGGTTGGTACCTACACATGGATGCATGGATGTTCTGCAGGCGCCTCTTCCCTGTGCTCAAAACTGAATTCATCATCTGTAGAAATCATTCATACCCTCGGAGTTTCTTGTTTTAGTTAATGCCTCTGACATTGTTTTGACTAGTCAAGGCAGACTTTTATGGTGGGTTGTGTTTCTTTCTCCTCATATATCTTTGTCTGGTAGATTTAAATTCTCTTTGTTTCCAATTTACTTGTTGTGTTCTAAACTTTTAGGTTTCCTATGGCCATTTAACCATCATGGTCTTCCCTGAAGTGAGTGATGTCTGCCATCTCTTCAAGTTTGTCTTTTGACTACCGTTTTATATTTATGTTCTTTCTGCCCTTACGTTTCTGTGAGATGAGTCTATACCGTTTCAGTCATGTCACTGCTATCTTGTTTTATGGTATTTTTATTTAATATTTTTTGTCTTCTCTTTTGGGTTAACCTTTCTTTGCTAACTCCTATTCCTCGTAAAGAGCCAAGTTTCATTGTGCACTCTGCTGTCCCTTTCTTGTCTCCTGACCATAGTGGCTCATGCTAAGGCATCTAGCCCAGTCTGCATCAGTCTGTTCACACATCACAGAGAAAATGGTCAGAAAGAAATTCTTGTGTTTCACTGTTCTTTTATAGTCTGATGCTATCCTTTTTAGTCCTGTCTGAAGTGATCTGAAGTGGTTTACGTTACTACTGAGGTGTATATTTCTCTTTTGCTTCTAACCTGCTTGGAATCTGAGTTCAGTTCCCTCACGCTTGGGCAGAAGCACCTTACCACATACCACATTGCCATATCCACAGCCCTCGTTTAACAAAAATCCTTACATTGAAATTTACATTTGTAATACTAGAATGTGGGACACTTAAAATAAACCTGAGTATTTTTGTTCTTGTGGGTTCTTCCTCATAGCATGTATATAATATGAAATAACTCTCAGGAGAACATTCTATAGTTGAACCACAGTGTTCACATCATGTGTAGCCTTGTGTTGAGCACATGATCTGAAAAAATAAATGATCCATGCATTTCATTTAAACTGTTGAGAAAAGGGGATTAGCCTTTAGAAATTGTTTTTGAATTTTTCATTTTATGTATGTGAGTATGAGTATATGAGCTGTCTTCAGACACACCAGAAGAGGGATTCAGATCCCATTACAGATGGTTGTGAGCCACCGTATGATTGCTGGGAATTGAACTCAGGACCTTTGGAAGAATAGCCAGTGCTCTCAAACACTGAGGCATCTCTCTAGCACTAACCTATAGAATTTATCAGAGATCTATTTCAGCAGGTTTCCATGGGGAGATAGTAATAAAAAGTACTTATTTTCAAATCAGACTTCCGGTCTGGGCCTGAGCACAGAGCAGATCCCAGGCAGCAGCTCTGTACCCAACCTCACAAAACCCAGAAATTAACACTAATGTTCTTTGTAGTGAAATCTTCATGTTTGTTTAGAATAGTACATTACATTCTATAAAAAAACTAGACTGTACTCAAAGTTGAGCCATGAAATTGGCTAGTAGCAGATCATTAGGTCAGAACTTTGAGCTTAGGAAAGTGACTACATACCAAATTATAACTATTTCAGCAAGTATCTTTAATATATTTAACTTAGGTAACAATTCTTTTTCTTTCCCATAAGTATGAGTGATATATATTAGTATGTGTATTAAGTTTATGAATCGTGACATATGCTTTGTTGTTATAAAAATCATACTTTTCATTGATAAGTTTATAGTTATAGAATTCAGAGTATACATTTTTAATTTATTTTAGAGTTGTTTTTCTGAATCCTAATGACTATTACATTTTTGTCCTATAAAGAGACTACTAGTATGGTAAATGCACAAAGCAGGATTGAGATAATAAGCCTCTTAGAGCTAGTTATTTTTAATAACTTCTTGTATTCTGACTTCTTAGACTCTTAGCTAGTAAAATGAAGACTAGTGAGAGTCTTTACCGGCCGTGTGTTGCAGAGGTATTAAGAGGACTCACATGACCAGGTGAAATCCTGTAGACATGTCAAAGTGATTGACAGTGGTGCTTGCTAGGATTTCCTATATTAGAGGAGAATGGAAAAATCTTAATATTTTTAAATACTTTCTTGTTGCAACAGCTCTTTGCAGTTTTTCAAACTAGATTTAAGATGTTTAAATGCTGAGAAATGAAAGTCTTACAATAGACAAATATCTTATTTCAAAATTTAATAAATGTAAGTTTTTACTTTTTCAAGCAACTTATTTTTCTTATTTATATATAATCTTATAGTTTTTACATTTTTCCTATGTACTTCATTAAAGCAATGAAGTTGCACTGTATAATTTACATATGTATATCATTATGCAATTAAAAAAATCTTAACTTCCAAAAGAAATAGAAATTTAAGTGTTTCAGTTTTCTTTTTGTGAATCTTAGTTTTTCAATTTTAAACTAATTGTAAATTATTATAATATACTTGTAGCATGGTGGTTCAACAAAAGTTATCCAGTTTATTACACCTTTAATAAGTACAATATAGATAATTTCTATACTTCTTTGCTAATATCTAAAAAATCATTAACAATTATAGCTTTCTCTCCTTTTTGGTGGTAGCGCTATGGATTAAGTGCAGAATTTTCTGCATGTGAAACGTTCTTTAGTACTTAACTGTAACCATCTGCATATACCCTGATTTTTAAATTGTATTCTTAGGAGGATGTATGCTAATATTCCATGTTTCATTGGCTAACCATGGAAAAGGCCATTAGGATAGTTGATAGTTCTGCTAGATACCTTCATTCTTATGCATGAAATTTGTTGTAATAGCTTTATGTTAAATATTATTCTTATATATATTATATATAACTATTTAGTCTTTATAAAATTATAAATTATCTAACTCTTCATAGTGTATTTCAGGTCAGATTACCTCCATATGCATTTTTAAAATCAAATTTAATTATTTAGTCCTGAAGAGTTTCTAACACAAAGGTCCTTTTAAAATTTTTGCTTTTATATTACATTGATTTAAAAAAAAAAGATATGGAGAAGCCATATTTCTTTGTTAAAATTACAAAATTTTTTAGCAGTCATGAATTTTTAAAATGTATTTTGAAGGTTGGTTTTTCTGAGGTGGTTTCTCACAGTTTTTTTTTCCTTTTTTTCTTTCCTTTTCTTTTTTTTTTTTTTTGCTGCGTTCAGAATAATTTATTGTATATATCTTGCAATAGGTTTGTCACATTTGAGTTTTGCATTAGATCAAAGTCATCTGTTTTATGCCCTAAGATCAGTAAAATGTAGTGTAAATTGTACATACAGGTCTGTTGGTTGCTTTTCCTTCTTAAAGTGTTTCTTGGAAGTTGTTTTACTAATTTTTTTTTCTTTCATTTTGTAACTAACTTAGCAAAGAGACAGTTTGTTAAATTCTGTTTTTCTTAGACAGGAAGGAAATATATATCCTTTTTCTTGTTCTGGGGATTATACCAGAGGGCCTCACTCACTGCTTGGCGGGCACGCTACCCCTGAGCCCAGCTCCTGCCCTGAAGTACAGGCACTCGTTCATTTGGCACAGCCATCCAGCCTGTTGTTTGTTCTCAGTACTTACAGTGTCAGTCAGTTCTACTATAGACTGTACATTGCTTTAGATTTACATTTTAATTAAGCATGCCAAAAAACTATTTCATATTTTCTAATTGTAAGTATAATATAAAATAATCAATACTTATTTTGTTTTTAAGATTAAAAACTGAAGCTCCCACTAAGGGACAAGAATCTGTGTCTAAGGTAAAGTTTGTTTTATTTTATAACTTCATAATTTTTTTCATTTGAAGGAATTGTTGCCACAATTTTCCAAAAATTTCAATTGTAAATGAATGTCAGTAACAATTATTGCTGTTTGTAGTATGAAAATAACTGAGACTTTAAAAGTCTCATTTAAAGTAAAATTGTTTTTGTTTTAACAAAGAGATCATATATTTTGATTTGTCTATTGCTTAGTAAAATTGTTTTTGTTTTGACAAAGAGATCACATATTTTGATTTGTCTATTGCTTAAACTGTTGAATGATGGTAAATTTGTGACTGAAATTCCAATCTCAGTAAAACCTCAGGCATTTACCAGTGAGAAATTAGTACTTCCACTTGGCCGAATATTTTGGGATGTTTAAATTGGCAAAGAATATAACAAATAAATAGTGTGTGTGTGTGTGTGTGTGTGTGTGTGTGTGTGTGTTTTCAGTATGAACAGAAGCCTAGAATCATCATATAAACACCACTTGCTAGACAGTCTGGTAGGACTTCCTGATCATCTAGAAATAGTTATGAGCTTCCCTTTGCTTTCTTAGTGGTGGTTTGTTTTTAATACTTTAAGTTTTTGGTCACTTAGTCAGTAGAATGACCAGAGTCAGATTGAACATTTGTTTTAACACCATTTTTTTTAACCATAGATAGTGTTCTTTGATTTAAAAGGTTTTTAGTTTCATACATGTGTCTTTATTTGATGTTGGATTTTCAAATTGGTTTCTTCTTGAATGAGTTTCAGTGGTTGTGGTTTTTGAAGAATCTGTGTGTTTTTACCTAAGATGCTGAATTATGTTGAATATAGTGTTGCTTGTGGTGTTTCTTTTTGTCCTTTTAAATACCTGTGGGATGTACAGTGATTTCTTTTGCTCTTGATAGTGAAAATGTATCCCACCCATTGTTCTTATTTTATATTCTTATTCTTTATAAAGACAGACAATGCAATTCTGTACTTCATGTGGTTAATCTTTTAGAGATATTGAAAGTGTACATGTTGATTTTATGTTTTTATTTTACTATTGTTAATGCTTTTTATTTCTTTCTAAACCTTTTTGGTTTTCTCTTTGATTTAAAGACCTTTCATTATATCTCATGCTATACAGCTTTTTGTTACTGTTTTTATTTTAAAATATTTTCATTTTGGAAGATATTTTTGTTGGATATAGATTTCTAAATGGAGAGTTTTATCATTTTCTTCAGTTGCTTAAAGTTCTTGACAAGATGTCTGATCATCACTTCTGTATTTATACTTTGACATTTTTCTTTGCTTTCCCCTCAGGATTTTATCTTCATTTGTGACCTGTTAGAATTTGATGTGCCTAGGCAGATGCTTTTGCTTATTTTATGTGCTGATCTATTGGTGTCTTCAGTTATTTTTTATATTTATGATAATTGATGTTTTTCAACTGTCTCTTATCTGCTAGCTTTTGCTTTTATATCTATTAAAGCAACTTGGTATTAGCCCTTTTAAGCCTTGTGCTGGTTTCCTGTACTCAACTCATTCATTCTTCTAATTTTTATTTTCTTTGTTTTTCAGTTTGGATATTCTCTGTGTCCTGACGGCCCAAATTATGCAACTAGGTTTTCAGTTGTGCCAGTATACTGACAAGCCCATCAGTGAATGCACGTTTAGCTTTAAAACTTTAGTGTTTGAACTGTTTTCTGATTATCACTTATGATTCACTACTGAAATTTATTTTGCATTCTGTTCATGCATGCTGATCTTTTATTTCAGCTAAAGCGTTTAACCAATTAATTGTAGTAATTTAAACTTTTTGGGTTGGAGAGATGTCTCAACTCTTCTTAAGAGCTGCGTTTGGAGAAAACTGAGGTTCAATCCCAGCAGCCGTATGTTGTCGTATAACCATCTGTAACTCCAATTTAAGGGACTCTGATGTCCTCTTCCGCCCTCCATGGGTACTAGGCATGTACATGGTACACAGACATACAATCAGCCAAACACCCATACTTATAAATATTTAAAAAGTTTTAAGGGGGTGGATGGGTAGAGAGATGGCTCAGCACTTAAAGATGCTTACTTGTTCCTGTAGAGGACCGACCTGGGTTTGGGTTCCAGCACCCACCTGGCAGCTCACAACCATCTATAATTGTAGTTCCAGGGTATGCAGCCCCCTTTTCTGACCCCTGTGAATACCACACATGCATGTGGTCCATGTACACATATATAGGCAAAATATGCATATAAATAATCTCAAATTAATGTATTTTTCTGTCTGAAGTACTTGGACTATAGCTCAACTGGTAGTATTTGTCAGGCATGCATGAGGTTTAGAGTTCAATCACCAGCAGCACATAGAGAGTCAATTGTGGTAGCACACACTTCTAATCTTAGCGGAGAGAGGCAGACAGGTAGGTCACTGGAACTTGACTTGAGCCTCACCAGTAAACTCCAGGTCCCAAAGAAAGACCCTGTTTCAAAAATTAAGGTAGAGAGTATTTGAGGAAAATACTTTACGGTTATAACTCTGGCCTCCACACGCATGCTCATACATGTATCTATACCTTCATCCATGCACGTGCACAGGCACAAAAGTAAAATTTGTCCCTCTGATAATTCCTGTATCTGGATTGTGCTGAGTCTAGTTCTTTGTCATCAGTACACATCCTGCCCTCCTTGCTTATCAGTTAAATATGTGGGTGGAAGATATTATGTGTAGGATTGAAGAGAACAGTGTGTGTAATACATATCTTTCTCTGTTTTAGGCCATTCACATGGGGCTTGGATCTGTCTAGTCAGGGGCTGAATTCAATTTGAGTTTTCTCATTGCTAATAAAAAACCCTGAGAGAAACAGGGTCTTTCTATGGGACTTTGGGTTTACTTATGAGGCTCAAATAAAATACCAATAGTATCTCCCCTTTATTCTTTGTTGTTAACATTCATACTTAGAGAGAATAAATCATCAAACTAATATTTATTTGATTTCCCTGCTTTTGATGTCAGGGAAGCCATTTTTTAAATACAGAAATCAGATCTCTTAAGTATGCTTAAATATTATATGCATATTGAACCTTTTGTTACATTTTATTTTATTTGTGTGTGTTTGTGTCTGCGTGCACCTGTGTATGCAGGTACCCAGAGGCCAGGAGGCAGCATCAGATCCCCTGGAGTTAGTTATAAGCATTTAAGAGCCACCTACTGTGGGTGCTGAGATCAGAACTCCAGTCTGAGCAGCAAGCACTCATAACTGCTGAGCAATCTCTCCCATTCCTCTTGCCCCATACTCTTCATCTATCGTATATTTTGACACTGTGACTGACTGTTATAGTAATTAAAATTTTACTTATTTAGACCGCCTCCTCTGTCTTCTCTCCCTCTATTCCCATCATTCCAAAGGGATAGCCAAATGAGGGCTTCACATCTGGGCCACAAGTTAAGAGGTGAAGTCTCAAATTTTTAATAAGTAAATTAAGTACTGCTTTAGTTCACTATTTTAAAGCATCACAGTAAATGCAGGATAATTCATGATGAGCATAGTCTGAAAATTTTAAAGACAGAATCTTGCATTATATTTTCTGCCCTTGTGGGGCAGATATGAAAGGTACCCACTTGGACTTGACCTTTTTCTGTGATGCTCCTTGTTCAGTCATGAGAGAGGCTGACAAGTTGTTCTCATTGATCATAGCTTCAATCTGTAGTAGTGCTATGCAAACAGAAACATTTAATTGCCAATCTTTGTTGAGTTTTAATATAGTTAGTAAGTGTAGATAGTAGTAATATAATAAATGCAATTTTTATTAATATAATTGACCTGTTACTGTAAAACTTGAAAAAAATGTTAAATAATTTTTGAAAAGTTATTTTCTTACTAGGAAAATTGATAGTTTCTCTGTTGAAAGCAGTGATTGCAGCCATATGTGAGATAGTTCAAAGTACAGTGTTCCACTATCCCTCCAGCCCAGCATTACCACTCTTAATGTGACACAAAGACAAGATCTTTTACTCCATTTGAGTTCTCTGCTATAATTCACTGAATAGGTTTCTGGTTCTTGCTTATTTCTTAGTTACTTCTATTCTATGGATTCTTGGGTTTGGTCTCTTCATCATGTCCCAGAGTTACTGAAATTTTTGATAAAGCTTGGTCATTGTTTTTCATTTGTTTTCTCTTCTAATGGTATCTGGATGCAATATTTCCTCAGCCTTGTTCTCTGTCCTGCTGTTCTTTTCTCTGCCTCATCTAGTCTATTTGTGATAAGTTGCATTGTGCTTCTTATTTTATTATATTTTTCATTTCTGCAGTTGCCTTGCTTTTTAACCTTTCTTGTGTTTTTAAGTTGTGGCTTATGTGTCCGTTGGGATGAATATCTTTCCCAGTTTACTTAGTAGGCAGCCTTCTCTCCAAGAGCTCAGTGTATAGTACTACTCCAAGAATAAACAAACCACCAATAGGCAACAAAATGAAACTTGTAAATAGAATTCAAATCAATTAAAGCCAATGACTACTCCACCAGTAACTAACAGAAAATAAAATGGCACAGGCCAGCAAGGTGGGTAGCAGGTAAAGGCACTTGCCACCAAGCCCATAGGACAGACTGCTACAAATTGTCTTCTGATTTCAACACATGCACCATGGTACACGTGTGTGCATATGCATGTACATACAAATAAAAGAGTAATAGAGTGGCGATGAGTAGGACATAAGGTTAGAAATTATAGTCAATTAATAAGAATAAACATGAAATAAAAGGACAGGCAGGTAATGAAATAAAAAAAGTTACCACTTTTTTGAATAAAAAGGGAAAATTGATGAAGAATGTAAAGAAAAAGCAAAAAAGAGCATAAAATAAGAGAATACATTTTTTTTAAAGGACGAACAATTTTAAAGCCTTTCTTTCTTCTTTTCTTTTTTCTTTTTGAGTCCTCTAGCACTGGGGGAGACTGGTAGCTGGTGGTTTCAACCCAGAATCTCTTCTCTTTTCCACTGTTCTGTCCTGGGCTCAGTGCTGAATTTTCTTTGTATACTACGAACACTGCTGGCCAATCTTAGTTCTATGGACTGAAGGCTAAACAGGTTCTTACTTGCTCCCAATACCTTTCAGTTTGTGTGCCCGTAGGTGATAAGCATCCAAGTTGAGGAATTTTCTGAAAGGCATCAAAGAGTAGAGGAAACAAACTAGTCTATGCTGAAGAGATCTGAGAGAACCAGTTTCAGAGCCTGCCTAGCAGTGCATCACCCTGGGGATGGGAAGGAGGAAGCATAAGTTTCTCGTTCTTGCTAGCCTCAGACCTCACATAGCAAGGAGTCATCTCCAGAGTCTGGGCAATCTGCCAACTGCAGGTTGAGGGCTATCATCTCCCCAGTAATCCCAAGTCCCCAAATTGTCATATGGGAGTCACTGACCATTGGCCCTTCCTAACATGAGTTCCCTGCTGCTTAAACTGCTTAGCATGTTCATTCATCTTGTTTTCTCTTCTCTGTGTTAGTGTCTCCAGGCACCCTGACTTGTGATTCTCCCTTGTCTTCTGGTTTCCAGAGTAGCTCAGGCCCGAACAGGTTCCTTCTCAAGATGGTATATTGTGATGTAATATGGAAGTGTTGTAAAATGGATTTCTTCTCCAGTGCTGGTGCCATACAGGGAGAGTTATTTTCCTACTAAAATTTCTAACCAGATTTAAGATTTGATAGGATTACAGGCTTATCCTGTGCTAGGACTACTATCTTGTCTTCAGCAAGTTGCCTACCTGGCTGTCTTTGTGGATTTAGCTTCTCCTTCCGTCTCTAGGAGGGATGTGCTGGAGCTGAGGTCTCTTTGCTCTTGTTGCTTATATAGTTTTTCTGTGTCTCCAGCACTACAGCTAACCACTACAGCTAACCATCTTTCTTCTTTTTTTTTTTTCCTTTGGTTTCCAAGACAGGGTTTCTCTGTGTAGCCCTGACTGTCCTGGGCTAACCATTTTTCTTAATTCCTAATGTTTTGCCTCTTCCTTCCTTCAGAGTAAAATCTACTAGTCATTTATGGAGTCACATGTAGGTTGCTTCTAAGAACTCTGCCTTTTGTTTTGTTTTGTTTTGGAGACAGTTTCTCTGTGTAACCCTGGATGTCCTGAAACTCTCTTTGTAGACCAGGCTGACCTTGAACTCACAGAGATACACCTGCCTCTGCCTCCCAAGTTCTGGGATTAAAGGCATGTATCACACCTGCCTAGCCAGAACTCTGCCATTTTTAATCCAGACGTCCTGTATTATATTTTGAGTAGGTCTTTTATCTATGGTAAGTCATGTGCTGATGATGGAAAATGTCCTTTGTTCTTTTCTGGGTTTTTTTTTGTTGTTGTTGTTTTTTGTTTTCACTGAATTAGAGAGATCTACAAAATGGTGATGTGCTAAATTATATGTCAGTCTTACTCATTAATACTGGCCCTGAGTTTATCTGTGATGCATAGGAGTTTCCTAGAAATAAAAGTTCTTGCTTGATTTTATTGCTAACAGTAATACAATTTTTTGCTTGATATTCCAAGCTTGCTTTATGAAATATCTACTGAATATCAAAATAAAAATACGTATAGTTTGGCTTTCATTTAAAACAAAAGTGACGTTTTATGAGGGGAAAAGTCTGTTGAGTTCACAACACAGCCATAGACCCTGGTGCTTTAAATATATGCACAGAATATTGACAAGACATAAGTTCAAAGACTGACACCTCAGGTTGTGGGGTGTACCTCAGTAGAGCTCCACCATGCAGTGCACACAGCCCTGGGTTGCTCCTCAGCACTGTAATGACAACAGCAACAAGAACACATTAGTTCTGCTTGTGTTTGGTAATGGAGAATACAGCGACAGCTGGTACAGTTTGGGTGCTTTTGTCTTGATTTGTGTTATGGTGCCAGCATTTTTATTCCTCGCTAGTCTTGTATTATATTAAGAATTATGATTTCACTTAATTCCTGAAAACTAACATAGATTCCCTGGGTGTCTGTCAATCATATTTTGAGACCTACTGATGTAAATTTTAATGTGAATTTACCTCCTGCATTTGTGTGCATATAACCTTCACAGTGTGTGAGTATTGTTTAGACTTTGCAATGAAATCCAGTGTGCTAATGCTGCGGTGAGGGATTTTATAAAGAGATTTCCCATACACACAAAGTCTTCATGGGGAATGGGTAGTTTGGGGACTGATTAGTGTCTACAAAGAGAAATCATGTCCCTCATGCTGTTCTTTGCTGCTTCTGGTCCTCACATAGTCTTGATTAGATAGTTCAGAGGGCTGACTGTTCACCTCTGTGGTGAAGGAAGGAATCTACCTTTTGTGAGTTGTAGAAAGAACAGTTAGATTCCCAGCAGTACCTGGGCATCAGTTTAGCCTTTTACATGCTCAGCATTAGACCAGATTTCTCTAAAAGCCTTGCCTCTGAGCCCCTCTGTATAAAGCGACTCACTCCCTCACTGCCCTCCTGTGGGCATCACTGTCACCTTCACCATCCTGCTGAGCCCTTACTTTCAGCTGCTTGTCAGCTTCTGAAACGTTGCTGGTGTGTCTTTACTAATAAGCATGGTTGGTATTTTCTTGGTTTTTTAATGAATGAAATTGCTTAATTCTATGGTAAAATTTTTAAGAGAATTGGGGAAAAATAAGGACATAAATGTGTGTGTGACTTGTGTCACAGGTTTGAGTCAGTCTGCTGGGGTTAAGAGCAAGACCTCTGTGTGTTATATCGCTTGGACTTCCTGCTCCCTCCTCTTCTCAGTTGTACAGACATCAATTTGTAATATCTCACTTGTGGGTTAAATGAAACTCAATGTAATTCTTAGTACATTCCACACAGTGTGTGTGTGTGCTTGGAGGCTGGTGGTTGTCAGGGACTGCTGAACCACTCCCACTAGATGGAGGGTTTTCAATATTCCTCAACATTTGAAATAAGCAAGATGTTTTATTCAATATATCTATCTTTTCATACTTGTGGCTTGACAGTGGAAGAATTAACATAATTCTTAAATACAAAATAAGTATTTTTTGAAGTGTTTTTTTTCTAAGTATCTGCAATATATGTAAGATTCGGGGTGGGGGGAGATGTATCTTGTTATTCATATACAAGTCTCAACTAGTTTTCTGCTTGAATAACTTCCACATTTGAAAACCTTGGTAAGGAAAATAGGCAGTATCTCACTATGTGGTCTTTAATGATCTGAAACTCAGTATGTAGACTAGGCTGGCCTTATACTCACAGAGATCTGCCTGCCTCTGCCTCCCAAGTTCTGGAAATTAAAGTTGGGGGCTACTGCATTCAGCTGGGAAATCGTTCTTAATAAAGTTGGGTACTGCTTCTTGATTTTAATTCAAAACTTTTTCTTACATTGAAAATGTTATGAATTTGAAAAAAATACCTATTATTCTACTGAACACTGAAGATTGAAAACTTCATTTTCTGTTCCTTTGGTGTATTAACTAGTACAGTTAAGTTGCTCTGATTAAGGACATTGATGATGATGGTGGTGATGATGATGATGATGAAAGTTTAGCCATGAATGTAAAAGTGTTATTGTTTCAGGGAACAGCAAGACATAGTACAGCTGAAGAAGAACCAGGAGCATCACATTCTGAAAGGTAAGAATAAGGGAAATGAGTCTCTTGATCAAGTTTATTGAAATAAATTAGTACTTGACCTAAGTTATATTTCACTGACAACTGGCAAAGAGTTATGTGAATTATATAAGATATTACTTAGTAATACTTTTAATAAAAGTTCAAAGTTTTATAAATTTAAGTTTCTTAAAGTATTATAAGTAAAATAATACTAAATGTACTAGGGTAAAGATTTTAAAATATTTTCTCTTAAATGAAAACAGTTATAAGATACTACAGATTATGAGATTCATCAGTGAAATTATGTAATTTTCCTATTTCTTCCTTTATATTTTATAGTAGACTATTTGCTAATCTGTTGAGAATAACACTCTACCCCACAAAAAACTAAAATATTGAGGCCTTATCAAGATGGTTTTTTTGTTTTCACTAGAAAAATAATTCGGCCTCCTTACATCTTTATCCTAGAGTTCTGAGCAAAGAAGTTGAACAAAATGTCACCCAAGCAGTAGGAAAATGAATACATCAGCTGTACATTACTCAATAGTCTGTCCAATATGATCTAAACAAAAAATAATTTTACCAGTTTGAAAGAAAGAAAAATGTGGGTTTTATCTATGACTAGTGGACATAAGAAAATGAGCTCAGAACAAATAATTGATAGGTTTTAATTAAGATGATTGGATGTAATAGAATCTTTCTGAGAGACTAATAACATGTGATTGCCTGACACAGGGACAAAAATGTCTTTCACAGTAGCATCATAAATGAGACATGGATGGAGACAAGCAAATGTTAACTAAGCTAGGTTTCATGAAAGACCATTTTTCACATGATTTTTTCCATACAATCAATGTTTAGTTCAAAATCTCAGTGGGGTATAGTTGGAAACTAACAGTATTGCCCAAAGACCAGTCCAAATATAGATCAATAGAGCAAAGTAAATTGCAGAGAAATTGCTTTGTATGCTCAGTGGTCTCATAGTAGATGACACCCGATATTCTCACTAGGGTAGCCACTCAACACATTGAGAAAAAAAGCATTCAAATTCTGGATAGATTAACTGTTATAAACAGGAATATGTGGTGATTGGTTTTTGTTAAAGTCATCATCCTTAGATCTACATAAGAGGTGCTGCCTTTTTATGATTTATTTAATTATTCCAGTTTACATACCAGAGTCAGAGAAATATGTGTACATACACCTAAATATGTATGTAGATAAATATGTACTAATACATATATGCATTCTTCGCATATATTTTCAAGTACATGTGGTTATCAAGAATTAGGAAAATGTTTGTGAATCCTGATTTGGTTTATAAAGGAAAGACATCTAAGCATAGAGTATATAACATAAAAGAAATTAGACTTTTCCATAGATAGATTAGGTACTTCTACTGACTATTAGGGACATTTAGTTTGATCCAGACACAGGCAGAGCTTTGATCAGGCAACAGCAGTCACTCCTAGGACAAAGACAGATGGTAGGTACTCAGGTTTCAGGTTCCTTTTTATTTGTGGCTCCAGCATTTCTTTTGCCTTAGTCTTCTCCCAAGTTGTAAGAGAATAAATAGCCAGGGCTCAGGGACTTATCTGTTTAGGTAGTCAAGTCTCTTTAACATGTTGTACATCTGAATATGCCTTTGGGTTACATCATTTTATGAATGGATAATAAACGGCTATGTTTTTCAGTAAGCAGGATAAAGCTCCTTCATCAGAAGAAGGCACTGGGCGTGATGCAAGTGTATGTGAAGCTGCAGCAGCAGCAAACCATGAAAGAAATGTAACAGTTCCAGATACAGAAAATGTAAGCAGCTCAAAGAACATCTTGAGTCACGATCCAGATGTTGGAACAAATAATACGAAAAAGGAAGAACAAACACATCATACCTGTCAGGAAATGGAGCTGAAGATGGACCAAAGTTTAGGAATCACAGATTCATGTGATCAGAGTAAAGAGCACAATCCCACTGAATCTGAGTTGTCTTCAGAGACTAGTCAGGATTTGCAGTTAACATCAAGGGGTGTTGGCATTGATCAGTCTCTAAGGCATGGAGATGAATCTGAACCTGTGAGTTCTGGTGCCAGTGAGCAAGGCGACATGCTTTTGGAGCCTTTGATGCCATCAGAAGTACTTGCATGTGAAGCCACAGAGATCCCCCATCATGGTGATGATTCTTCAGCCAACACCAATGACACAATATCTGATCAAACAGCAGTCCTGGAGGAAGTCGCCCTTGTAGAGCAGAGACAGCAGTAGAGCTGGCAGATGAAAAGGAAAGAAGCTGAAGTTTCATTCCCAGCAGAAAGCACTTAGAACAGTAAGTACCGTCTGGTGAGCGCAGGAGTGCCATGGTAGAGGTCAGCAGTGGAGATCTGAGGGAGGTCCTTCATACACTTCACCTGGATGTTCAGTCTTATTAAATCAGTTTACCAATAATAGCACGGTTAGTATGAATTTCCACATTTTTAAAAACCTGAATAGAACTTTAGTGAAAACTAAGTTTGTCATCCAAAGGTCTCTTAGCACTTTTTGATGAAATCTTGTTTACCAATATGAAATTATTATAAGATTAATAGCTATGTTCATCAGACTTTGCAAACTTTAATTAGTACTAAACTTAAAAGTCCTCATCACCTGAATATTCCTTTTAGTAAACTTAAAGGAAGAGATTTGAAACCATGCATTTTTTGAAAATACCTTTGAACTGTCAGTCAATTGTTACTGTTAATGAAGGCTTTGTTTTTAATATGATCCTGGTAATAAAGCATGCTTAGAGTGCTAAATTGGCCTGTTGAGAACTTGGATGAATATAAAAATTAAGTTTGGATTTAATATAACATTCCAATCTGTCAGAAGCATGCAAAAAGAATTTTAGAATCTGTGCACCTCCACACAAGTGTTAGCCTGCCAGGCTAGGCTGTCCGCTTACCTTTATTAAACTTTCAGTGAAAGTGAAATTATGAAAATATAAGTTTATATTTGTGCTTTTAGTCAGTGTATAAGCTGTGCAGAACCCCACCCCAGCCCCCATGGACTAGTTGTATAAAGTAGAAATCTGTTATTGAAACTCTTTAAATAGCTACTATGCTTTTAATATTGTTTCAATGATTTTTAGCAGTAGACCCATAAAAATGGTCTGGACACCAAACCAAAGTATGGTAGATTGTAGGCAAAAAGAATTGACCTAAAAACATGCGGCCGCGTGTACTCAACTATGTTAAAGGACTTCCTTAATTGTAAAAGTAGAAACTTAAAATGGGACCCTAAAACATGTTTTTTTTTTAAAGGTTAGCTTAATTTATCCATAAGTCAGCTACTAAGTTCATTTTTTAGATTATAGAAATAAATATAACAAACAATAATTTGCTTTTAAGTACTAATAAAATTTTATTTTAAATGCTGCATTTTTAATTCTTAAAATGTACTTTGAATTCTTAAACTGTTTAATTGAATGTTAAATGTTTTCAAGGCCTGTTAAAATTCTGTTGTATATAGTAGTTTTTGAGCAAATATTTGCAATAAAAACCTGCCTTTGTATAATTTTATATTCCGATTCCTGCTTGGTTAGCCTGTCTTTTGTGCTGTCATGCGCATTGTAAGCAGTAGGTTTTGTACAATAAGTTCCGTTTTGTGTGCTTCACTGACCTACTGAGAATTGAAAATACAAGGACACACTGCTAATACGTACAGGGAGGACTTCTTTCACATCAAGAGAAACGTTTATTGTACGTTTATTTTCCTCATCAATTTAAAGAAGTTGAATATGAAAAATAGATCATTGTTTTCTTGAATATTTAAAGAGAGCTGGTTTTTTCATTCTTCCTGTTTCCAAGACAAGTTGTAACACAAAACTACCACAGGAAACTATTTTGCAATATTATAAACCTTTCAAGCCTGGACATACAAAAAAAGTTTACCTATGTGAGGACCACTTTTTTGGTTTTTCAAGACAGGGTTTCTCTGTGTAGCCCTGGCTGTCCTGGAACTCACTCTGTAGACCAGGCTGGCCTTGAACTCAGGAATCCACCTGCCTCTGCCTCCCAAGTGCTGGGATTAAAGGCATACACCACCACTGCCCGGCTAAATAGCAATTTCTTGTCAAGCCTGTTTTCCTGTGCTATAAATTATGTACAAAACCCTTAGATTAAAGTAAGTCTCCAAAGTATCTAATTCCTTGGGCTTTGTAAAGTTTGTATCTCTGTCCAATAGCTTTATTCAAAGTCACTGATGAGTGAGCTGTTTGTGCTTGCCTTTTGTGAGAAGGAACTAGTGCTGAACTCTTAGTTGCCTCACCCAGAAAGTAAAGTAGCAGGATGGAGGACAATGAAAGATGCCTTGTGCTTAGCAGTGTACGTGCTACCTTCTTACATAGTCATACTTCCTCCTAAGTCAGGAACTAACAATTCAGATAAAGCCAGCCTTTGAATAGAAGTAAGCAGTCCAAAAGCAATCGTGTCCACAGTGAATACTGAGGTCTGTTTGGTTTGTAGATGAAAACAGCGCTGGGGAATATTTAACTACTGAGCCTGTTTGTGTAACTTCATTTACAAAACAGCATGCTGGGTGCATGTGGGCCACAAGGTTACATATACCTACTCTGACTTTGGGTAAAAGGCTAGAATGTGCTCAAGTGACCTTACCTCAGAAGATGAAAGTTGTCTTGCAGGTACAACACTTTAATGACATTAAGAAGCATTATTGTTTTGTGGGGTATTTTATATTAAAACTAAATCCTTTTTTTTCTTGGAGTATTTCTTCTCTTTTGCATTCTTTCAATGTTTTAAGAAAGACCTTGTAAGGTTTTTTCACCCTATAAAATTTTTTTAAAAAATCTGTTGTGTGCATGATGTAGGATTGAAGGTGTGTGTGTGTGTGGTGGGGTTATGTAGAAGGGAAAAACTCTGGAGTAAATTCTCTCTGCCTTTATGTGGGTTCTAGGGATAAACTCAGGTCTCCAGGCTTATACAATGAGCCCCTCTCCTTGCTGAGCCGTCCCTCCAATTCTCATCCCATGAATATTTAAGGAATTATTCTAAACAGTTTAAAAAACTGAATATATATAAGCATGTGTGTGTATTTAGCATACACACACACACCTTGGCTGTATACACAAAAGTAAAAAAACCCAATACCCTAGCAGTTACTGCATAGGATTTTAATGCCAGGACCTGGGCCTAACTTGACCTTGTTCTACCACACCTACAATTTCTAGCACTAAATATTCTCTTATTAAAAAGCTTTTTTTTTTTTTCAGATAACTCTTATTGGTGATCAATTACAGTTTCATTTATCATTTCACAGTACTTATACATACAAAATCAAAGATTTCTTAACCAGCCATGGTTAGGCGTGGTAGCATAGGCATTATAATGCTAACTCCGTCCTAGGATGCTGAAGCAGGAGAGCAAGCTCCAGGCCAGCCAAGCTCCACGGTAAGACTCTGTCTCACAAAATAACAGCCTGGAGTCTTAAAATAAAAGATTCCTGGTATTTCCTTCTATTAATAGCAATAGGGGACTTTACCTCAAGGGTAGAGGTTAGCATATAATTTTATACTTAGAAAAGTAATCGTGTAAAGGTATATTTTCTATAACTTGATGAAATTTTGACATCATTGCACTTTTATAGCTGTCTGTTAAAAATAGTTATTTTTGTGGTTAACATGGTTATTTCTATTCCCATCAAAATTGTTCCTGAGGCTTCATACAAAAAGCATCTGCTGCACAAGGATAAAGATCAAATACAGATTTCCAGCACCTACATAAATGCAGGGTAGGTGTGGCAGCAGCCTGTAATTCAGCATTCAGCATATAGTGACAAATGGGATCCCCAGAGTGAGCTAGCTAGTTGGACTAACCAAATCAGCAAGCTCTGGACTCAGTTGAGAGATCTTTGGCCTCCCACACATGGACAGCACCTACATATACCAACATGCATGCTTGGACTCACCACATGCACACACACACACACCTGTTACTTCAAGACCATACACTTTTATTAACTTAAAACAGGCTTACATGTGTTACAGGCTTTAAAGAGGGATTATATAGATCTATCTTTACTAGATTATTACAATGTGCTTTTTAGGCTAAAACACTTGTTTCTAAAGTTTAGAAAAAATGTTAGTGTGTGTGCATGTGTGTGTGTGTGTCCTCAGATACTAGAAGAGGAGCATCTAATCCATGATCAGATCCATGGGTTTGGAATTTACAGGTGATAAGTTGCTTGGTGTGGGTGCTAGGAATCAAATTGGGTCCACGGACATGAAGCAGATACTTACTGTTCTGGAGAAAAGGGTATCTGTTTAGTAATGGGTTTTGTCCTATAAGTCATGTAAGGCCTGTCTTTCTATATATGAATGGGAAAAAATCAGAATGTTTGCCTCACCAGCCCCCTTGAATTGATGTGTGAGCATTTGATTTTGACAGCTAATCAGGTGTGCTCCTTCATCACTCTGAGATAATGAACCAGGCACAATGAAGCAGTAATCTTTAGACAATGACACATCATTATTCTTTTGAGGTAGCATTGCCTATGAACCCTCTGTAAGTTCAGTTCTGTCTCACAGCAACGTGGGTGGCATTCAAAATTGGTTAAGGCGGAAGCTGAAAGATGGCTTGCTTAGTGGTCCAGCACATACACTGCTCTTGCAGGGGACCTGACATATCTATATTTCATGTTGGATGATTTACAATCGCCTCTAACTCCAGCTCCAAGGAATTCCATGCTTCTGATCTCCAAGGACATTCACATGTACATACACAGAATTTTTAATTTTTCAAAATAAAAATTTTATGAAATTTTAAGGTGAAACTGTCTAACAGGAAATCAAGCATTTTAAGGTGAGCAATAGAAATAGCACATAGTGTGTTTGTAGTGTTGTATAACCCTACCTCTAGTTCCCAAACCTTTCTAGCCAAAGTAAAACCATCCTGCCAGCTAGGCAACCTCTCCCCATTGCCCACTTCCCTCATCTTAGAAACCACCAGTATCTACAATATAGGTTTGTTTTCTATCCTGGATAGTCACATATTAGAACCATACAGTCAGTGACATGTTGGGTCATTAGGCTACATCTGCAACCCTCAAATACAAATAACTGGAAAGATATCCTGTGTGTCAGTTTTTAAGGGTTAATGCTGTCAAAACATTCATGCTCCCTAAACAAAGATTTCATGAAGTTCCTAGCCAAATTCTAGTGACACTAAAAAAAAAAATCAATAGAGCAAAAAATCTATAGAAATACAGACATTTCTGAATAGTCAAGTCAGTTTTGGGCAAGAATAAAGCTAGAAGCATGATAGTCCCTAATTTTAGAAAATACTAGAGTTACAGCCATCAAAACAATATACTAGTGTAAAAGTAAACTTGCAGTTCTAAGGAATAGAGAACTCAAAAATGAACATGCACAAACACTGTTAGCTGATCCTCCCAGAAGAGTATCAAGAATGCACAACAGGGAAAATATTTTTTTTTCTCTGTAAACCACACTTAGAAAATTGGATATCCATGTGCAAAAGAGTGAGATTGGACCCGACCTCACACTAAGTGCAAACCCCCATATCCATGTTGTCTTTATAAGAGTTGCCCTGGTCATGGTTTCTGTTCACAGCAGTAAAACCATAACTAAGACTGCTGAACCATCTCTCCAGTCCTTGTGACCAAAAACTATATAAAGGAACTGAGTAGGAATTTTTGTTAACAAAGTCATATGAATGATCAACAGGTAAATGAAAGGCAATATCACCAAGTGTGCTGGTTAGTTTGTCAACTTGAGACAATCTAGAATAACATAGGAGGAGAGCCAGTAACAGATTGTATAGATTTGGTGGCTTGTGAGCATGTCTGTGGGAGATGGTCTTGATTAGTGGGAATTCTTGCCCACTGTGGGTGACACCATTCCCTGAGCAAGGGATTTTGCATTGTATCATTGGAGAAAGCCAGCAGAACATAAGCATGAATGCACTAGTTCATTTCTTTCTACTCTTGACTGTGGATAAAATATGATTAAATGCTAGCCTAAAATGATTTATTGTAACCTTAAACTACGAGCCAAAGAAGCTATTTTCCCCTTAAATTATTTTCATAATTTAAATGAAAGAGAATGTCAGACCAATTTCACTTATGAACATTGATGCAAAAATACTCTATACTCACAAACCAAATCCAAGAAGACATGGAAAAGATCATCCAACATGATCATGTCGGCTTCAACCCAGGGGTGCAGGGGTGGGTCAATATACAAAAATACATTAACATAAACCAGCATAAAAACAAAGAAAAAAACTCCACATGATCATCTAATTAGGTGCTTCAAAAGCCTCTGACAAAATCCAACACCCCTTCATGTTAAAAGTCCTGGAGAGATCAGGGATACAAGGCACATACCTAAACATAATAAAAGCAATACACAGCAAGCCAATAGCCAGCATCAAAATAAAGCAATTCCACTAAAATCAGAGACAAAACAAAGCTGTCCACTCTCTCCCTGACTATTCAATATAGTACTTGAAGTTCTAACTAGAGCAGTAATACAACTAAAGGAGATCAAGAGGATAGAAATTGAAAAGGAAGAATTCAACATATTGCTATTCTCAGATGATATGATAGTATAAATAAGCGACCCCAAACATTCTACAACATTCTAACCTACAACTGATAAGCACCTTCATCAAAATGGGTGGATACAAAATTAACTTCAAAAAAATCAGTAGCCCTCCTTTATATAAACAATAAACAGACTGAGAAAGAAATTGGAACAAAACCCTTTACAGTAGCCATAAATGATATAAACTATCTTGATGTAACTCTAACCAAGCAAGTGAAAGACCTGTATGACAAGAACTTCAAATCTCTGAAGAAGGAAATTGAGGAAGATATCAGAAGATGGAAAGATCTTCCATGCTCATGGGTTGGTAGAGTTAACATAGTGAAAATGGCCATCTTACCAAAAGCAATCTCCAGATTCAACACAATACAGACCTTAAATTGAGAGTCCATATGAACTTCCATATGAAGTTGAGAGCAATTCTCAACTTCATATGGAAAAACAAAAAACCCAGGATTGATAAAACAATCATGTACAATAAAAGAACTGGAGGTATCATCACCCCTGATCTCAAGCTGTACCTCAGAGCAATATTAATAAAAACTGCATGGTATTGGTATAG